GCCTCTGCCTCCCGAGTGCTGGGATTAAAGGCGTGTGCCACCACTACCCGGCTCTGTAAAATGACTTTTAACTCTGAGGGGAAGCAGCATTTTCCAAATTGTAATTGTTAGGACTTTTTACTTTTACTAACAATCAATTGTTCATGGTCACTAGGTTGTTTTTCTAGATAGTGGTGATCCACACTCTCACCCCTTCTCTTGTGACAAAGCACATAAGGTATTCCATTAGAAGAAATTGCCGCTGTGCGGTGGTGGCGTTTGCCTTTAATCCCAGCACTGGGGAGGCAGGCGTATCTCTGTGAGTTGGAGACCAGCCTGGTCTACAAGAGCTAGTTCCAGGACAGTCTCCAAAGCCACAGGGAAACCCTGTCTCAAAAAAACATTAAAAAAAAAGAAGAAGGAGAAGGAGAAGGACAAGAAGAAGAAGAAGAAGAAGAAGCAGAAATCCCTGTGAAGCCCACACTAACCTTCAGAAGGCAGAGAATAAATTGGGCCACATGAACTCTACAGTTAAAAATAGGTATTTAAAATGAATCTGAAATAATGTAATGACTTGCATACAGTCGTTTAAAAGAGTTAAATTCAGACTTTATTGTTGGGTATGGTGATTCACACCTACAGCCCTAGTATTCAGGAGGTTCAGGAGTTTAAGGTCACCACCAGGTACAGAGTGAAGGCCAGCCTGGCTATACAAAGACCCTGCCTCAAAACCAACAACAGCAAAAAATAAGCAAATAAATAAATAAAAGTATTGTTTGGTTGAGCATGATGCTGTATGTGAACACTGGGGAGGCAAGAGGGCTGATCTTTCATTTCAATGCTAGCTTAAGTTCAATGCTAGCCTATTCTACAATACAGAGTTCCAGGCCAGCCAGATATAATAGGCAAAGAGACCCTGTCTCAAACTGCAGACACTTAAAGAGATATCATCTGTTGTGGATATAGCTCTGTAGTAGACAGGCAAATTGCTAGGTTAAAGAACATTCAGTGTAGCCGGGCGTTGGTGGCCCATGCCTTTAATTCCAGCACTCGGGAGGCAGAAGCAGGCAGATAGATCTCTATGAGTTCGAGGCCAGCCTGGTCTCCAGAGCGAGTGCCAGGATAGGCTCCAAAGCTACACTGAGAAACCCTGTCTCGAAAAAAACAAAAATAAAAAAAGAACATTCAGTGTATGCATATTAGTGTATAAACGCACACATGTAGTGTATACATATAAACAAGCATATACATAATTAATTAGGATGATTCCAAGAGCCAGACATAGTGACATATGTTTGATAATCTCAGAATTTATGGCTGGGGATGGAGGAGCAGTAATTCAAGGCCAACCTAGGCTTCATGGCTGGACTCTGTTTCAACTCTCCCAACCTAGGTCTGGTGACAGCTTGGGTCGGTATTCCCAGCTACTGAGGAAGCTGAGGCAGGAGGATAACTGAAACCCAAGAAGGGGACACGTGGTAAGACTATTGACTGGGGATCGCCAAAGGAGGGCAAAATGTTAAGGCTGAATTGAGGAGATTAACTGGGAGCAAAGTGACTGACTGGGAAACTGAAGACTGAGATGTGTTAGTGATGAGCTCGCGAAGGTGCTTAGCCACTTACCCAGAGATTTTTTTAATGAGAACGGGTCGCAGGTTTCCACAGGTCGATCCACTGCCAGTAAGAAGACTGTCGTGAACTTTGGGTCCCCTTTTCACTAGTCAACAGTCACCCTCACCTACACGCGGAGTAGTGACATATTTGGCACTCATTTTTTTGATTGAATGAAAACCTACCTACCTTCTTTATCTTGGTTAACTAACCCCCGAATTACTGCCCTGCAAATCATCTCCAATAGACCTTCTTGACTTAACCCAAAGAACTAAGAAAGTAGCAAGGAAGTTTCGGGGGACATCTGTAACGGTTGGGATCTCTGAAGAGCCAACAGGGTCTACACCAACCCAACTTTCCGTAGAAAACTTAACGAGGGGGCTGGGGAGCTGAACCGCGACCGGTCCGCTTGGGCGTCCACAAGGAGGTGGTCAAGAGGACGCAGATCCGTGACCTCCCACTCGGGGGCGCTGAAAGACTCGGGGGTTATTAACCCCAAAAGTGAGTACCTGGGAAGCTACGGCACAGAGAGTGGCTCCGGGCTCTCATTCCGGAGGCCGGGGCCTGGAGCCGGCCAACCGCGCCTCCCGGCTGAGGGTTCCGCGCTCCGGGGCGGTATTGACAGATCAGCTCGCAGAGTGATACCTCACGCTTCACGAGGCTCCGGGCTCCCAGAACTGAGCCGATCGTCACACCGACGTCGACTTGTTTTCCTCAGAGCTTCTCCTTCACGCGTCAAGCGATCTCTCCCGCCCTAAGCCAGCAACCACTCGCTCCCCGGCGCCGCCATCGTTAGTGTTTGTTTTCATCCGCTTCGGTGCAGGCGGTGGGGAGAGGGAGCGCTATGGGGGAAACGCAGCTGCCAAACTCCAGTTGCACTTTCGTTACACCGCAGGTGCCCTAGTTAGTCTCTCGGTACCTCAGAGTCTCCACGAAAGTTGGCTTCTTTCCAGAAATAAAAGATATAAATCTTTTGCTCATTTGCAAGGCCTCTTAAGAAAAAGAAAAAGTGTAGGGAGAGGGATTTTGCGAGCTCGAGACCGTTCGGGCTTCGTGTGGAATGTACGGCAGCGAAGCGCAGGACGCGGCGGCCGCCGTGCTGAGGACGCGGCGTGGGGCGGGCGCTGACGCGGAGGGGGAGGAGCCGACGTTGCGCACCCTGGCGATGTGTGTGCCGCAGCGGGTTCCGGAGGAGGGCCTTCCCCGGCTGGGAGGGCGGGCGGAGCGTGCTCCCGGGAACCGGGCCGCTGCGGCGAGATAGCGACCAGCGTTCGCTGACTCTGGGTGTCCGAGCAGCCAGACTTTGGTATTTTGCTGTTTTGAGACAAGGTCTCGCTGTGTAACTCAGGTTATCCTAGAAGGTACTGTATGTAGCTCCAGCTGTCCTGGAACACGCGGCCATGCTACCGCCCCAGCTTCCAGAATGCTAACACTCCGCCCAGGCTTGGGACTTTTTTTGTGTGTTTTGTTTTGTTTGACTGGCGCTTTTGTAGTTCAGGCTTGCCTGGAACTCATCCTCTTGCCTCCACCTCCCAAGTACTGGAATTACAGTGAGCCACCACACCTGGGTTGGGTATCTTTTTATTTGCACAACTTTCAAAGGAATAAACCTTTTTCACTGTTACGCTTATGTATTGGAGGAGGGGAGTGCTATGACAGTGATGTAGAGGTCAGAGGACAACTTGCGTCAGACAATTCTCTCCTTCTGCCCTGTGAGTCTCAGGAACCAACTCATTTCACCAGACATTGCAGCCAACCCCAGTGCCCTCGGAGCCTTCTCTCTGTCCCTATTATTAAATATTTTGAAGGTGGGTTGTAAAAATGACCCCGGCATTCCAAATTTGTTTCTCTCAACCTCTTCCTCTTTTCCTTCTTTTCATACTGGTATTCTTTCTAGCCCTCAGCATCAGGATTTGGACCTCTTGATATAAAGGGAAAGTCTGTTAGAGCAGACAATGTAGGTCCCCAGGCAGGGTCATGGACTTTTTTTTTTTTTTCTTTCCTCCTAGCTTCCTAGTTAGACTGGTTTGAGCACTCCCATATCTGCCTTGGTGGAGCCACAGGGCTTTGAAAAACAAACCTCCATGACTAATCCTTAAGGTTTTTAAGTGTTGATGGCTGCCATAGACCTCTTTTTACCTTGTGAAGAGTTACACCATCACTTCTTTTGCTGTTCTCAGTTGAAATGCCAGGAATTAAATGACCCACTCCCATTGTCTTCAAATCAGACCAAATTTGTCATATGGGTGAATTAGTGGAGAAAATCCAGAGTTGTTTTTTTTTTTTTTTTTTTTTGGTTTTTAGAAACAGGTTTCTCTGTGTACTTTGGAGCCTGTCGTGGAACTAGCTCTTGTAAACCAGACAGCTCTGGAACTCACAGAGATCCACCTGCCTCTGCCTCCCTAGTGCTGGGACTAAAGGCGTGCACCACCACAACCCAAGAAAATCCAGAGTTAAAAAAGTGAATTGCTAGTGCCAGGCGTTGGTGGTGCACGCCTTTAGTCCCAGCACTCGGGAGGCAGTGGCAGGGGGATCTCTGTGAGTTCCAGACCAGCCTGGTCTACAAGAGCCAGTTCCAGGACAGCTTCCAAAGCCATAGAGAAATGCTGTATCGAAGAAAAAAAAAAAAAAGTGAATTGCTAAAAAAGTATTGTAGGTTTTGAATCAGTTGGTATGGTTTTGGTAGGTTTCTAATGTTTTTTTTTTTTTTTTTTTTTGGGGTTAAGTTTTTTTGTTACTTCTCTTCCCTGTGTTTTTTTTTTTTTTTTTTTTTTTGGTTTTTCGAGACAGGGTTTCTTTGGAGGCTGTCCTGGAACTTGTAGAACAGTGTGGTCTTGAACTCACAGAGATCCACCTGCTTCTGCCTTCCGAGTGCTGGAATAAAAGGCGTGCGCCACCAATGCCTGGCTGCCTCCTGAGTTCTTGAAGGCGTGCTGCTGTTACCACCCAGCTCTAATTGTTTTTTCTTTTAATTACTTTACAGAAAGAAGATTATAAATGTCAGAGCTATTTAACTGATGGTCTAGCTGTTGAATTCTGACACTTTCTTCTTGTGCCAGCCTCTTCATTGGGAAAAATTCAGAAAAAGCAGATATAAGTGTATATCCTCATTGACTATGGCCGTACCAATTACAGTACTTGACTGTGATCTCTTGCTGTATGGTCGAGGTCACCGGACCTTAGACCGTTTTAAGTTGGATGATGTGACTGATGAATATTTGATGTCCATGTATGGATTTCCCCGACAATTCATTTACTATTTAGTGGAACTCTTGGGGGCAAGTCTTTCACGACCTACTCAGCGATCTAGGGCTATTAGCCCAGAGACACAGATCCTGGCAGCATTGGGCTTTTACACCTCAGGTTCCTTCCAGACTCGGATGGGAGATGCTATTGGAATTAGTCAAGCCTCTATGAGCCGATGTGTTGCCCATGTCACTGAAGCCCTTGTGGAAAGGGCCTCCCAGTTTATCCACTTTCCAGCTGATGAAGCTGCCGTGCAGTCTCTAAAGGATGAATTCTATGGATTGGCAGGGATGCCAGGGGTGATAGGGGTGGTTGACTGTATCCACGTGGCCATCAAGGCACCCAATGCTGAAGACCTCTCTTACGTGAACCGAAAGGGTCTGCATTCTTTGAACTGTCTGATAGTGTGTGACATCAGAGGGGCACTAATGACTGTAGAGACAAGCTGGCCAGGTAGCCTCCAGGACTGTGCTGTGCTACAGCAGTCTTCTCTAAGCAGTCAGTTTGAAACTGGGATGCACAAAGACAGCTGGCTTCTTGGTAAGTTTGCAAGTGTAAATCTTCAGTGTATATCCATAGGAAAGTTATGCTGTAGAGTGGGTGAAATCTAAGATTCTCTAGTTTTACTTTGTCCTGTCACTAATTCTGAAACCTCAGGTGAGAACTCTCTGAGCCTTTTTTTTTTTTTTTCTGTCATTATTATTACTTTTTAGAGACTTTTTGAGATAAGGACTTGCTGTGGAGACTGGCTAGCCTTGAACTCAGACATTTACTTTCCTTTGCCTGTCATGTGGATTAAAGGTGTATACCACCACACCCTCAGTTTTTTTCATTATTATTCCTGTACTAGGGATTAAACCCAAGGCTTGGGAATGCCAGGCAAGGATTCTAACACTGAACCTTCAACCTTTGCACTGAGATTTTTTTAAAAAATCAATATTTAAGGGATAGAGAGGTGTGCTCAGTGGTCAAGAGAATTTGTTCTTGAAGAGGACCTGAGCCAGGTGGTGGTGACACTCACCTTTAATCCCTGCACACAGGCGGTAGAGGCAGGTGGATCTCTGAGTTCGAGGCCAGCCTGGTCTACAGAGCAAGTGTCAGGACAGAGAAATTCTGTCTCAACCCCCCCATCCCCCCAAAAAAGGACCTGGATTTGATTCCCAACACCCACATGGAAGCTTACAACTACCCACAACTCCAGTTTCAAGGGATCTAATGCCATCTGTCCTCCACAACACAAGGCATGCACATGGTATACAGACATATATGCACATGCAGGTATAATACCCAGACACATAAAATGAATGTTAAAAAACTTTAAACAAAAATTATTTAAGCTGGGTGTTATCATATATGTTTGTAATCCCAGTACTGGGGGTTGGCTGAGTTAGAAGTCTCTGGAATTCTAGGTACAGCCTGTGCTTTGTAATGTGTTCCAGGCCAACCTGGGTGTAGAGGGAGACCCTGTCTCAAAAATAAAATAAGGGACTAGGGAAATAACTCAATTAATTGGTAGAGTACGAAGCCTTGGGTTTGGTTAGGTTCTCATCACTGCCTAACAAAGGTGTTTCCCAGTACTCAGAAGGCAGAGAGGCAGGAGGATCAGAAAAGTTCAAGGTGATCCTCAGCTACATAGGGAGTTTGAGGCCAGCTTGTGATACATAACCCCCTGTCTCAAAAACTAAACAAGGGGATGGAGAGATGACTCAGAGGTTAAGAACACTTCCTGCTCTCACAGAAGACGGGAATTCAGGTTTCAATACCCACATTGACCAGCTCACAATTGCCTGTAACTCCAGCTCTAGGGGATTTCATACCCTCTTCTAGCCCCAGAAGACACTTGAACCGAGATGTTTGTGTGTCTTTGTGTGTGTGTGTGTGTGTGTGTGTGTGTGTGTGTGTGTGTGTACACAATTTTTTTTTTTTTAGCCAGGGCTTCTCTGTATTGCTTTGGAGGTTGTCCTGGAACTCTCTCTGTAGACCAGGCTGGCCTTGAACTCACAGAGATCCAACTGCCTCTGGCTCCTGAGTGCTGGGATTAAAGGCTTATGCCACCAACGCCTGGCTGATGGTTCTATTTCTAATAATATATCTTTGAGTTATATGTTCATGGAACATGTAAAATAAGATGTGTGGTGACAGAAGCTTGCAATTCCAGCATGTGGGAGGAGGGGTCAGGAGGATCAGGGATTCAGGGTCATTCTTGGTTTACATACTATGTTTAAGGCCAGCGAACACTACATGAGACCCTTCATCAAAAGACAAAAATCAAAAACAAACAGAAAAACCAGATCACGAGAATTTTCATTGCCAATAGTATCTACAAAAATCCCTGTAGAACAGTGATTTTTCAACCTTTCTAATGCTGTGACCCTTTAATACAGTTCCTCATGTTGTGGTGACCCCCAACTGAAAAAAAATTACTTTGTTGCTGTTTTACAACTGGAATTTTGCTACTGTTATGAACCATAATGTAAATATCTGTGTTTTCAAACTATTTTAGGAAATCCCCAAAGGAGTCATGACCACAGTTTGAGAACCACTGCTGTAGATACTTGGGAGATAGCTCAGTGGCAAAGTGCTTGCCATTCAAGTCCTGGACCTGAGTTTGATACTATTTCAAGTATGGGGTCCCAGGAATTGAACTCATGTTTAAAAAAAAGAAAAAAAGCCAGCTGTGGTGGCACACACTTACAATTCTAGTACTAGAGAGGCAGAGATAGGCAGATGTTGGGGCCGAACTCCAGCCCAAGGAGAAACCCCATCTCAAGCAACATGGTAGGTACCCAAACACTTTAAGTTG